GGGAGGCTGAGGCAAGAGAATCACTTAAGCCCAAGAGTTTGAGGTTGCTGTGAGCTGTGACACCACGGCACTCTACCCAGGGCAACATAATGAGACTGTTTCAAAAAAAAGAAAAATTTACTATATTATAAGTAAAAGGAAAAAAGTATGAGATTATATTACAATACAAAACACATGTGACAAAATTCAACATACATCCTGATTTCCAAGAATAAAAACAAGGAATACCAGTAAAATAGGAATCTCATTGGCATTATCAAATATTTCAACCTAAAAGCATCATATTTAATTAAACATCAGAAGTATTTCCATTAAAATGAAAGGGGAAAAGGAGGTCTACTAGTAACACTATTATTTAGTATTTTTCTGGAACATCCCAATTAGGAAAAAAGTAAGAATACTTGAAAAGAACAGGCAAAAATATATATTTTAGCTGATGAGATTACATCTAAAAAACCTCAAATCAACTTGATCAGTAATTTAGATCAAGATAATTTAGTAAGGTGACTCATTAATGCATTAATAAACTAAAATCCTTCCTCTAGACAAATAATCACTTAAAATATAAGAAAATATTTCTTTTTTTAAATTTTTTTAAGAAAATGTTTCTTTTGACAACAATTCAAATGATCAAATATCTAAGAGTAAATGAAATAAAGTATGAAACACATATATGAAGAAAACTTCAAAACTCTCTTGAGAGATATTTTTAAAACTACTAAAATAACTGGAACCTTTTTTCATTTTTTTAGATAGAATCTCACTCTGTTGCCCTGGGTAGAGTGCCATGGCATCATTATAGCCCACAGCAACCTCAAACTCTAGGGCTCAAGGGATCCTCTTGCCTCAGGCGCCAGAGCAGCTGGGACTACAGGTGCTAGCCATAATGCCCATTTTTTAAATAACAACAGGGTTTCACTCTTGCTCAGTCTGGTCTTGAACTCCTGAGCTCAAGCAATCCACCCCACCTTAGCCTCCCAGAGTGCTAGGATCATACTTTGTTCTTTAATAAATGACTAAATTTTGTATTTTCTAACTATAAGTTGAATGATGTCCCAACTAAAAACCAATAGGCTGGCTCAAGGGGCTAAGGCACCAGCCACATACACCTAAGGTGGTGGGTTCAAAACCAGCCCGGGCCCGCCAAACAGTGATGACTGCAACCAAAAAATAGCCAGGTGTTGTGGTGGGCGCCTGTGGTCCCAGCTACTTGTGAGGCTGAGGCAGGAGACTTGCTTGAGCCCATGAGTTGGAGGTTGCTATGAGCTGTGATACCATGGCACTCTACCCAGGGGGACAGCTTGAGGTTCTGTCTCAAAAAAAAAACAAACAAAACCAACAGGCTTAGTTTGAGAAACTTGAACAAGACAAACATGGAGACATAAAAAGTCTGAGAACAAGTAATAAAAGGAGGACTAGGTCAAACAACACAATATAAAATGAATTGCCTATAATTTTAAAAGTACTAGAGGAGAAATTGTCAACTCAATGGGAAAGTACATTCTCAAAAGAGACCCAAATACATCTGAGAATTCAGTATACAATAAAGGTTGGATTTCAAATCAATGGGGATAATACTGGCCTTTTCCAGTAAATGATGTTAAGAAAATCCGTAGGTGTTTGAAAAGAAAGAAAACTGGGAAACTTAGTCTTTCCATTAAAATACCTATTTCTTTATTCTTTATATACATACCTCTTTCTAGTAAAATATAAACTGTTAACAGGGGTTACTTTTAAAGAGACTAGGGTTGGATTCCGTTAAGAGAAAGAAATTGATATTTTTTTACCCTTCTATTCTGTGTGCATTTTTATTATTTGCCTGTATTGTTTCATTTCTTAAATATATAAGAAATTTTTAACATGTATATGCAAAGCAATACAGGCAACTTCAATATAATCAGATTTACATTCTGACAATTTATGTTTTTTTAATGGCCACATGGATTAAAACAAATCCTATTTCTTTTATTGCAGGGTTATATCATAGGAGCATTAGCCTGTTTCCTAGATGCTCAAGCCGTTGAGTCATATATAGCAGTCACGGTTCTGGAAGTCGGCATCGTCCTTTTTTTTATTCTAACATATATGCTAACCCTTCAACATTTGATGACTTATTTACATTGGCCCTTACTTGTAAGTGTTCATTTTCATAATTCAAATGTAACCTTTGCCCTCAGCCCGAGAGTAAAGGCTCTCCTCAAGCGAGAACAACAGTGCTCTCTCTCTAGATAAGGACATAGCTGAGCTGTGACAGGGTTTTTGCTTGGGTCCCAGGAGAAAAATTAGCCCAATACCCAGAAAGATTCCTTGCACCCCTTTGCTTACAGGAGGGGTAATACACACTCCCACTTCCAGCTCTGAGTATCACTAAAAACATGATACTTTTCAGCTGTCCTAAAGAAAATTTTAATTGGTATACTCAGTAAGAAAACACATTTCCCACTCATTCCTTGTAAAACAGCATATGCTTCCACTTTTCAGACAGCACTCTGTCTAGTGATTATAAACATCCCCCTCCTGAAGCAAGAGTTGACAGGACAGAGTTGCAGAAAATTACTGTGCATACCCTGAAAGATTGCAAAGTCAACCTTTTAGTGTGTGCTAAGGGTCCATACTCTGAAAGGGGAGCCGTATGGTAGACTATCCGGAAAAAGACATTGCACAGCCTCCTTTGATAGTTTTTTCCAATCTTGTACACTGTTTACCAACTGAAAAATCCCTGAAGCTAATCCCTCAGGCCTTAGACTAGAGAGGCAATATAGTGTTAGCCAGAGGCAGATATGGACGCAGTTCCTGACCCTGCCTCCTTAGTAGCTATGGAACATTTGGCCTCAGTTTCCCCACTTAGGAAATACAGAGAAGGAAAAGTGCGATGATAACTACCTCGGTAGGGTTCCTGAAACATTTACACCTGTATGAAGCCAATAGCACAGTACTTAGCACAAAGTAAATATTTATTGCAAAGTTTCCAAAAAGAAAAACAACCCAGGCTTGGCGCCTGTAGCTCAAGCAGCTAAGGCGCCAGCTACATACACTAGAGCTGGCAGGTTCGAATCCAGCCTGGTCCTGCCAAACAATGACAACTCCAAACAAAAATTAGCCAGGTGTGCGGCAGGCACCTGTAGTCCCAGCTACTTGGGAGGCTGAGGTAAGAGAATCGCTTAAGCCCAAGAGTTGGAAGTTGCTGTGAGCTGTGATGTCACAGCACTCTACCCAGAGTGACAGGTTGAGGCTCAGTCTCAAAAAAAAAGAAAAGAAAAGAAAAAACCCATCAGGCCCCATAAGGTAGTTGGCTGGCTTCTGCCACACAGCACTCTACCCAGAGTGACAGGTTGAGGCTCAGTCTCAAAAAAAAGAAAAGAAAAGAAAAAACCCATCAGGCCTCATAATTTAGTTGGCTGGCTTCTGCCACACTGTCTTGCGCATGAACAATCCTAACTTAGGGCTCAGGCCTCTTCCACACCCCACTTCCTTATAGTACATTTTTCTAACATTAAAGTAGGATTGGTTGCTTCTGAGCTAAAACGCAAATACTTTCTTCAAATGTGTGAGGGATTTTCTGAAAAGGCTGCTGAGCTCTCTCTGTCCCACAGAGTGCCAAGCAACAGGAAGCAGACAAAGCAAAATATCAGCAACTTTAATTGGACATTGGAAGACCCTCTTAGTTATGGAAAGCTATATCCATGGAGAGGTTTCTGAGGGAAAACTAAAATCTCTGTCCATGGAAATTTTCAAGAAGGGAAGGTAAAGTAATTCTTTTTGAGCACATACCATGTGCCAGATACCTTTTCATATATTACCTTATTTAATCCTCACAACAACCCAGTGAGGTTGTAGTCATCCCTCACCCCTCATTTAACAGATGAAAAAAATTGGATTAAAGAGATGAAATTGCTTGTGGTCATATACAGGTGCATGGACACTCAAATTTAAGCCCAGGTCTGTTTGACTCTAAAGCTCAATCTCTTTCCAAACTGCTGTCTCGTGATGGCTTCTTTATTTTCATTCTCCCTTAAGGTAAGGATCCAAGGGGGGCTACAGATTTTGCTCAGTTACTCTGATGCTCAACTAACAGTACACATATTGAGCAACCACACAGTTGGTCAGATAGTGAATGATCTAATTGACTTGGAAGTTTTTGAAAAAGATCCCTCAAAACAGGACCAAAATTGTGTTCCCTTCCTCCACCTGTTCTCTTCCTTTGTAATCTGTCCTTTCAGATCCCATGAGATTTGATGAGTATACATATGATTTAGCTGAGGGACAAGTAGCTACCCCTGGGTAGTAAGAGGGAGGCCTCTTGTTGTGCTAATCTAGTGAGGGTATTGGTGCTAGAAGGTGATGACTTGGCACTGCACAGGATAGGTGAACTTGGAAATGTGTTAGCATCAACTACAGGAGCCACTTGGGACCTATTGTAAGGTGAGTGTGGGAAGCCACAGATCACACAGCCTATTGCATACTGGAAGCATTTGTGAGCTCTGCATAGTCTTAAAGGCTTGCCAGTGGACTAGAGGTATCCAAGATGTATGGTTCCCATTTCCTTTCAGCCTTTTTCTCCAGGCAAGAAGGTTTGGTTCCTGGGAGGTATCAGATTAGGATAAGGAGTATGACTTTAAGTAGTTATTTCTAGCTTAAAGGCTCCTACAAGGATAGCTTTCCTTACTTCCCTATTCTAATTCTTATTTGACAAGGGTATGAGGGTACAAGTCCCCATCAAGGAGATAAATACAAGGTCTGAGACATCAAGGCTTTAAGCCCTCAACAGGGAAGACTCGAAGAATACCAGCCTCAGATACAAGTAACCTGCTGAGATCTATGGGCTCTGTGACCATATTTTATCAAGGCTTCCTAATCTGGACAGATGATGGACCCTGGGCTTGGGGATCCAAACTAAGTCTCTGAGTTGCAGCTGCTCTGTACTGTGAAGGCTATGCCACGGACCCTGACACTATGGGGAGAGGTGCAGGTCCAGCTCTCAGCCCCTGTGCTATGTTAGGGCCTATAAGATCTGTTCCTTGGATGGGTTCTTGCATTCTTGGTACATGTGAATTTACAGAATAAACGTCACTCAACTTCCAGAGCATTGGTTTTACCTACAAATTTGGGAATAGAATTAAAGCAGTAAGTAAAGTGATAATCTAAAATTTTTAAATTCAGCCCTTGTTTTATCAGCATAACCCTGCATCAAAGCTAGCAAGAATACAGCTTTCCTCACCCCACCACACTGTCTTCATATTTAGACTACTTTATCCACGGTAGTCTAGTGTCATCTGCCAATATACCCAAGAAAATATTAATTATAATTAATTGTCTTCTGAATAGCCCATATTTTAAATACTTCTAAAATGTAAAAAATATGTATAATCCAGCATTGTTAGAGAAACCAAGTTCTGGTCAAGCAAATGTTTTTGCCAATAGAAAGCAATGTTTG